GAGCCTTCAGGACCAACGACAATCATGTCTTGCCTTTTATTCGCTGTCTGAAAAGAAGATTGTGGGAACATGTTGATGCAGGAATAGCTTCAATCTTGAGCGAACTTTATGCATTGGTCGGAGAAAGGGCTGTCGTGCGCATCCACTCTGACAGGGCGAAGGAGTTCTTGGCGACAGGAGTCGTGCAACACTTGAACGAGGCGGGAGTGCATCAGACCACAACTTCAGGACACGATCCGGCGGCCAACGGATTGGCTGAGAGGATGGTGGGACTGTTGAAACAGCAGGTCCGAGAGTTCATTGTCAAGGGGCAGGTACCAATGAAATACTGGCCTTACTTGTTCAGTGAAGCGGCGCGTGGCATGAGAGATTTAGTGCTCGGACCATCGTGGCAAGGATCTCTTCCCTATCCGGGAGAGGCGGTGGCAGTGAAGGTCATAGACCCTGCACCACTGGATGCTCGGGCTGAACCGGGAATGTTTCTGGGGCGAGCGGATACAGCTACCCATGGAGCATTTGTGCAAGTGCATCGCAATGGAAAAGCAGAGGTGATATTGACTAGACTTCCTGCGCTCTTAAAGGAGACAGACAAGCAGTGGAGAACATTCACATCTGAATGCGGAGATCTTATCTGGGTGTCTAGCGCCGGAGAAGCTAGAAATGCTGATGCCGTACGTGATCTGGGCATTGACCTGGGACTACTGACTGTGGAAGAAGCTCAGAGGGGTTGCAGTCCAATGGATGGTTTTCCTGTGGTTGCAGCGATGACTTCGATTCCTGAGAAGGGCAGCAATATTGCTAAGGAAAAATACACAGTGGTCAACGCGGCATTTGAAGATGAGATGACAGACGCTGAGGAGATGCTGAAGATTTTAGCTGGTCAGCGTGCATCCGCTGAGATTGTGGACACTAGCGTTTTCTTTAAGGGAACAGAAGCTGAGCGAGCCAAGTGGATTGAAGCGGCCAAGAAAGAGATGGCCACCATGCATGAACAGGTTGTTTGGAACGAGCTGCAGGAGTCGAACATCAGGTCGGAGCTGGGATTGAAAGAAAAAGATCCTTTTACCTCCAATCCTTCCTATGAGGTTGGTGATGGCGAAGAAGCCAGATCTTGATGCTGAGGCTGAGTCTAAGGGCGGAGCTACGCTTGAAGCTGAGGCTGCAGAGGCTGCGTTCAAGGCCCGAGTACGACTTGTAGCATGCGGAAATTTTCAACCCAATGGCGAGATCGATGAGGATGAGATTGCGTGTGAAAACCTGAATCCGGAAGCCCTGCGACTGATCTATGGAAGGCTGGCTTCGGAGCCGGACTGGGAGGGTCTGACTCTGGACATTTCAGCTGCATTTCTTAATAGCCTACTGCCAAAGCACGAGCGCATACTGCTTCGACCACCTGCAGTACTTGTGAAGCTGGGATTGGTTCCGCCGGGAGTGCTGTTCTATGCCAACAAATCCATCTATGGTCTGAGGAGAGGGCCGAAGGATTGGCAGACAGAGCGGACCGAGAAGCTTCATATGGCAGTGGCACCAGCGGGCGATGCATGCAAATATGGCGATCTTAAACTTGAGGAACTTGAGGAGTGCAAAGGGGTTTTTGTCATTAAGGATACTGCTTCACAGAAGGTGGTGGGAATTTTAGCAATGTTCGTCGATGATGCTTTCATCTTTGGACCCCGAGAGATTACCTTAAGAATCAAGCAGTTGATCACGCAGACTTGGAAATGCCAGGTGCAGGGATTCTTGACACGCAGTGCAGATGCAGAGATCAAGGATGGCGATGAGGTCATCAAGAAAGTCGATGAGATCACATTCTTGGGAACACAGGTGTCTCTTCATGAAGATGGGGTTCATGTTTCCCAACGGAAGTGGCTGGTGAGAGAACTGCATCGGAGAGGATTCGTTCATCTTCGAGGCAGTGAATCCTTGCCAAATGTGGACATGACGCAGATTCCTTTGATGCCGAAGGACGCTCCAGGTTTCGCGAACTTCTTGAAGAAGGCCCAGGGAGAAATCGGAAGCTTGCAGTGGCTGGGACTTAAGACCAGGCCGGACATTCAGGCTTGTGTTGGAATTCTTGCTTCGCTGCAGACTTGGAATCCTGAATGGGTGGTTAACGCTTCAAAGGGAGTTTGGCGATACTTGAGGGCGACGGTGTGGTCGGAAATGATTCACCACGAAGGAGGCTCCTTGGACATCTATGCCGAATCAGATGCTAGTCTTGCTCCGTCGGGTTCCCGATCTAGGACTGGGGTGGTTATTAGTGTAGGTCAGAACATCGTCTTCTGGAAATCATGTCGGCAGAATCTTACGGCGTATTCGACTTGTGAAGCCGAAACCGATGCATGCGCGACTACGCTCTACGAAGCCGGCAGAATCGCGGGGATGATCGAAGCGATAACCGGATACAAACCCAAGTTAGTCCTGGTTGGAGATAATGCGGCAGCCGTGACGGCCATTACCAAGCCGGACTTTAACCCACTCACCTGGAGAACGAGGCATTTCGCTATGAGGTGTGCGTGGGTGCGGGACATGGTGCATCGCGGCTACAAGGACGCAAGCATTTCGGACATCACGTGTGAGTGGAAGTCTGGAGCGGAGCTTACAGCAGATGCTCTCACGAAGATATTGCCCAGGCAACGGCTTGAGAAACTTCGAGGACGGCTCGGAGTACATGTGCGCCGACTAGGGCGATGAGCTTTTGATCATGCGGCACGGGGGACAAAGCTTCCAGCACCACGAAACCGTGGAGCCGGAAAGGAGGAGTGTTTTTGGAACCCCCTGATGCCCATGATATTTTATACATGCTCTTGATGCAGAGCTGCGTGTTTGAAGTATTAATTAACTTCTTCTGCGAACTAACTGTTTCTATCTATGCTACTCAGTACAGAAGCACATCACATGATGCACACGTACGTGTTGTGCTGTGCGTTTGAAGAGTAGCTGTAGGTGTAGGGGAAGGGCACTGGCCCGAAACAAGAACGAAGTCAAGACCTCGTAAAAAGAAAGCGAAGAGGCTACGGGGCAGCCATGTAAAGGGCTAGTGCAAGTAGTTTCACGACACGTTCGCATGCATGTTTTTGCAGTTGACATATGCTTGTCTCAAAGATGCCAAGCATGTCGGAGAAGCCATTTACACGACGAAACCGCGAATGGCTCAAGTACGAGAAAAGGCCGTGGGCCGAGTGAGGGGTTTTTGGTTCGTTGAGGGTTTGTTCAGGGTGTCCCGTCGGTTCAGGTGCGCAGCTTGTGCAGTGCTCTTGTACACACCTTCGGTAAACCCCAAAAAACCCTTAAAAAGCCTAAGCGCGTGCGGACTACTGCAGTCGAGCAAGACCACGACATTGCAGAGTTCCTTCAGTGCGACGGACTAAGATCACGACATTGCAGAGTTACTTCAGTGCACGGGAGCACTGGCAGAGATTTTGGTTGTAGTGATTTTTAGGCCGTTTGGTTACCCTAGTGTTTTCCCGATCCCGGTTTAGGAGGTCCTTATCGTACCCTAAAAGGCTCAAACGTCAAGTCGGTGACAGTGGTCACGACTCAGAGCTCAGGGACTTCAGATTCCGATGGAGCTATCACCAGTTCCTACGCATTATTCTGTAGTCACCGATGGGAGCCATCATGGAAGCCCATATCAACAACAAGTTTCAAGGAAGCTTATTTCACTACGTGTGCTTGAAGAAACTGCGAGGCAACCTGCAAGTGGCATGCCGTGAGCTGTTTTTCATGATCAAGGAATATTATTCCGCCAACAATGTCGGAAGCCAGTTGGGCGAACTGAAGCCCACTATGCTCAAGGGTAAAGGAAAACCATACCGAAAGCGGCGGAGAGCCGAGCATTGGTGCCGTTCAGCGAGATCCTGGCCCAGGCCGTGCTAGTCCCCGAAGAGCCCTTCGACAACATGCTCATGAAAGCTGCCAGCTCCTTCGCTCGCTGCTACGATCAGCTTTCCAAGGACTCCTTTCAGCCGGCCACTTTGGCACAGGAGGCCTTCGAACTCGCTTCGAGATACGTGGATCTCAACAAGGAGGCGGAGAGACTAGGCATGAAGCTTTTCAAAACAAAGCCTAAGTTGCACATGTTTTTGGAATTGTCTTACTGCTGCACCTGCTCTCCTTCAGCGAACTGGTGCTACAGGGATGAGGATTTTGCTGGCAAGGTTGCAATGGCAGCTTTTCGGCGAGGCGGTGCCAACACCGTGCGAGCACTGGCAGAGTCTTACTTCTTACGCTGGAAATCCATGTATGCAGTTCCAGAATTGTGCTGATCCATCGGCTTCTCGATCTGCGAGTTGGGGAAAAGTCCGACTAATTCATGCACGCTCATGATATCACGAATATATTATCACTTTATAAATATACTCATATTGTAGCATGCATGATCGATATATATATATATATATATATATACATTTCATGGCATGATCGCATGTGCATGGAGGCCCATGTGGTCTCCTCATTTCTAAAGGAGACCTGCCGGAAGACATGGATCTCCTAGCTGTGCACTTATAATATCACATGCATGCATGCATTTGCATGGATTTCTGCATGTCGGTCATGTTTAATATTCATGAAATCATACAATTATATATATATATATATATATATATATATATATATATTATTTAATAATAGTAAAACAAAACATAGCCATATATTCGACTTCCTCAGCACTGTCTGGGGGAACAAAACTATGCCCAAAAATTTGCAAAGCAAAAGAAAAGCAAGGGAAACATCAAGTCGTGCCTATCCTCGCCCTGCACACACGCCGCGGTCGCCCGAACCTTCCTTAATTTAGGATTGTGTGAATCTATTCTAAATAACGGGTGTCTGCCTTAATTAAAGCTTGCTTCCTTATATTTTAAGGACTATAGTGCTTAAATAAGGAGTATACTCCTTATTTGAGGAGTGTACTCCTTAATTAATGTATGTGAATAAGGACTATAGTCTTTAAAAAGTGGTCATTGCAACTTTTAAAGACTCTTGGGCCTTCTGGGTTGATGGTCGACGACGGCCCGGACCTAGAGTATGTCGTGGGTCTCTTGCGGTACTCAGGCGTCGGCCAGCTGCAGCAGACGTGCGAGGTGATCGGTCTTACGGAACAAGGCGGCAAGTGCCTGGTGGCTGTGCCCGGAGCTGTCTGGCACAAGCGACCTCCCAAGCGCACGTTGCCGAAGAACGCCCTTCTGAAAGCCACTGCTTTAGAGGTGGCGGCCGTGAGTGTCGACGACCGGAGCGAAGCTTTGCCTGGAGTGAACCTATACGCATCTGGGTTGGCCTTTTGGATCCGGCCCTGGAGGCGAGAGTGGATTACTTGGGGTCCGGGCCCGATGCGGCGTTCGGGGTCGACTCGCTTGGCCAGGCTCTGTTACCGCACGCCCAGGCCCTGTACACCGCTGTGAACGATGTCTTCGCCTTCCACTCAGCCGAGTCTGCGGGTCACGCGGTCGAGCCTATGGCGGGCTTACCACCCTCGAGGACGCCATGTCCAAGATCGCCTCCGGCTTCAAGGTCATCATGGAGCGGGAACAACGGGCAGCCGACCCTCAGACACCGCCTCCAAAATTCGTGAAGCCCCGAGCCAAGGCCAGACAAAAGGCTGTGGAGGAAGCCGCTCCACAGGCGAGGCCGGCGGGGAACATACGCTATGCCAACCTGGACCCGGGAGTCGCGCTGGCTGCGGAGGAGGCCGGAGTGCAGGCTGAGGCCCTTGCCGAGATGGACCGTCTCGTGGGAGCCGGCCCGCTCGGGCCGGATTGCCAAAGAAGCCAGTCGGGCTTGCGGCTCGTCGTGGCGGGGTCTTGTCCGAGTCAGGACAACCCGAAGTTGATTACGCGCGCCATCGCCAACCTGATGGCCGAGGATCTCTTGGGTGTGGCCCAGCCGGGCGTTCCAGCGTCAGCCCGAGCGTGGGTCGAGCACAGGTCGCGGATCGGCCCCTACCAGACACTTGCCAAGACGGCCTGGGCCACGGCGGGCGCCCTAGACGCCCTAAGGGCCGGAAGGGTCGAAGAAGCGCAGGCCCGGTTGAGCGTCCACCTCCTGATGCTCGACCAGGTCGGTGTCGACCGAGGCGCTTTGACTTTGGCGAGCGAGCTGTCCGCTCCACGACCGCCGGGACGCCGAGCAAGTGTACAGCCGATTGCTGGACAGTCGTTGGGCAGAGGTTGCGTTGGGACACTTACGCGAGCAGATGGAGTTTGCCGAGAAGCGGGAGAAGCTAAGCCGTGCCAAGCTCCCCGCAGGTCCCAGCACCGAACAGGAGGAAGAAGGAGAAGGAGCGGGAACTCGCCCACACCCGAAACCGAAGCCCCTGCCCCAGAAGTGAAACTCAGCACCCAGGGCTCGACTTCGCCGCCCAGATCGACTATCACCTGTGGGCCGGTGCCTGCCGTACCGGGTGCCTCGGCCCCAAATTTTTCCTTGCCTGGATTTTGGCACAGCCTCCCTTCTCTCATTTTGAAGCTTTTGCAAATTCTTCAGCTGCCTGCTTTCTGCCGCCAACGCAACGGCACACACGTCTTCGACTTGGCCCATGCCTCTGCCTTACCCTGGTGTTTTTAAAAGCTCGCAATGCAGGCGGCCTCCCTGGCGCCATAAGAGGATCAACTTAATTGTTGCTTTTCTTGATTGGCTCTGCCTGGGCTGTCCTGCCTCAGCTCCACCGGTGTTAGGTCTGGGAGCCTCGCTGTCGGCCAGAGAGCGCCGAGCAGTGGGTGCGATTGAGCGCCTCGTTGAAGATAGCACTACGTTTTTCAAGCTTGATGCCGCGCTCATGGGCAGGTCCGCCGTGAAAGCCGAGGACCAGCACCAAACCCTTGCAGTGGTTTTGAGGGTGACATTGGTTACTTTAGCAAAGTGTTGCCGAGCTGCTCTTCCGAGAACAGCGCGCCACCCCCTTGCTTCGGATCTACTGCTGGCAAGCTGCGCCTCCCTGAGAACTGCAGCGCCAAACCCATCCAGGCCTCTCGCCTGAAGTGTCCTCCAGCTCCTTCCTTCAGCCCCCGGGGCTACCTCGACAGCCGCACGCAAAAGCTTTACGATCGGTCCTTGGATTTTGAGGCCCCTCTGTTGCCCCCTAAGCCGGTGCCTCTTGTGCGTGTTCGGGCCACTCGGGCCGAAAGGATTCAGCTCTATCGGGCCCTGGCTGAGAGTGGTAGGCTCCTGCCAGTGCGTGTTGAACCGGACCGGCTCCATTACGCCGCTGGTATGTTTGCTGTCCCGAAGGACCTGACGCGAGACAGACTAGTGTTGGACGGCCGTCCCAGCAACGCCCTCTTTGAGCCTCCCTCCTTCTGGTCTTCTTCCATGGCCTCCGCTTCTGTCCTGTTGCCTTTGGTGCTCAGACCACATGAGTCGCTACGGGTCAGCACCGCGGATTTGAAAGATTATTTTTATCTTTTCCGCGTGGGTCGGCAGCGGTTGGCCAAGAACCTTTTGAAAGGCGCTCTGAGCAAGGAGGAGTGTGAAGAGGTATTCGGGCATGGGTGCCAGGAGTATGCCGAGCCCGATGGCTCTGTGAGCCCTTGCTACTCTTGCCATGGGTGACAATGCCGCCGTCGAGTTCGCTCAGGGAGCTCATCTGGGCGTTCTCCACCGCCATGGAGTCTTGACTGGACCTGAGCTGCTGGTGCCGAACCACCCGCCGCCCCGAGGATTGCTCAGCATAGGGGTCGTGCTCGATGACTTAGTCATCTTGGAGCGTGTCTTGAGGAACTGTGAATCAGGCGACCGCGGCCCGGCCTTGGGTGCCGAACGGCTGGACTCAGCGCATGCCTCCTACCAAGCCTCCGGTCTCCTTGCTCACCCTGAGAAAGGCAGCCGGGACGCAGCAGAAGCCACTTTCTGGGGCGTCAAACTTGATGGCGACGGCGGCCTTCTGAGACCGTCCCCTGTCCGGCTTGGGAAGTTGATGCTTATAACGACCAGGGTCGCTTGCCTTGGGGTGTGCACGCGTGGCCTCCTTCAGTCTTTGGTCGGCTCTTGGACTTCAGTTTTTCTCTTGCGCCGCCGCACCCTGTCACTGCTGCAGATATGCTTCGAGGCCCTGAGCCACACCGAGGACGACGACGTCATACGGCTGTCGGCCGGGTTGCGGGATGAGCTTTGGTCTTGGGTGCTTGCCGGGCCCCTGTGTGTGGCCGACCTCCGTGCACAGGTTCTGGAGGCCATCTATGCCACTGATGCCTCTGACGACAAGGTGGCTGGCGTGCAGGCCGATCTCCCTGCCGAGGTGGCCCTCGAAGTCTTTCGCCATTCCCTTCAGAAGGGCGCCTGGGCTCGCCTGCTTTCCGAGCCGCAAGCATGGTTCAAAGCACGTGGGCTCCTCGACGAGGACCCACCCGCTGTGGCGAGTGCTGGCCTGTGCCGTGCCTTACCGGGCCCTCTTTGCCAGCGATGTCAAGGTCTCAATGCACATCAACCTCAAGGAATTACACGCTTTTCTCCGACTTGAGGAACGCATCGGGAATGCCATGGTGAGTGTGCGATTTCTATGTGGCCTGGATTCGCAGGTTGTTTTGGGGGCCCTGACAAAGGGGCGGGCCGCCTCCCCAGCCATCAACAAGTGCCTCCGACTCTCCCTGGCTTACCACCTGGGCTGTGGTCTTTACCAAGGATTGGGCTACTTTCGCTCCGCGGAGAACCCGGCGGACGACCCGACACGCGGAGTCGAACTGAGAAAGGCCCGCGACCCACTTCCTGCCTGGTGGCTTCCCTTGGCACGAGGCGACACTACCTCCTTCGACCGTTGGCTGGAGAGTCGCGGGGAGCTTCTTCCGAGCTAAGTTCCACCCCGGCAGCGACTGGGCAGCAACACTTTTTGTGCGGGCCCCGACCCCTTTAGCCGAGGCCCTGCCAGCCGGCTGCAGCCTCCACCCTGCAATGGTTTCCAGAAGCGCAAAAGAAAGGTAGCGGCCCGGTTGGGGCCTGCGATGGCGAGTCCTCCGGCCCGAGCGTTGGCCCTCCTTCTGCTGGAGGCGTGCTCGATTTCCGCCTTCGAGGTGCTCTACTGTGGGAGTATCCCAACACAGGGGTCGCACGACGGTTGGTGCAGTGTGGGCTCCCTTGGGCTTTGGTCGTGCCTCGCCTCGACCTTTCCACTGACGAGGGCGGCCGCTACAACAAAGCCTGCCGCTCGGCCCTTCTGGCTGCAGGGTTTGGAGCCTTCGGAGCTGTGCCGACGGTCAGCTCGTTCTCGGTCGCTGTGACGCCACCCTGCCGGAGTCGAGGCGCCCCCTTTGGATTTGACGGCCTGTGCTCGAAAACGCGGGAGAAGGTCGCTGCCGATAACTCGCGGGCCGCCGCCCTGGGTGAGCTTCTAAGGTTGTTTAGGCTTAGGTGTAGGGGCCCCTTTTGGGTTATGGATCTCAGCAGACAAGCCTGCGCCATCTGCGATCCCTTTTTCATAAAAGGACCGCGAGCTTGAAGCGAGCATTTTCAAACTTGGTTTCAAAAACTTGGCATGGCTTGTTTTTGCACGTGACAATTTTTGCATTGACTTCAGCGCATCGCCTCTTTTGGTCTTGATGACACAACCTTGGCATGCGGCAGCTCAGTGCTCGAGCTGAGTTGTGAAAGAATTTTCTGTGTGGGCTCTCTAGAGGCTTGTACTTCTGTCTAGCAGGCCCGTGCCCTCCGTATTTCGGTGTTGCTCTTAGAGCTCCGTGCAAGAGCCCCGCAGGGGCTTGGATGGACCCTGGCGCGACCTTTGAGGCCGCGTCGTCCTCGGGCGACACTCAGGAGGCCATTTCGGCCCACTTACACGAAGTCCAGCTTGCGGTTGCTTCTCTAGAACAGCAGGTTGCTTCGCTGCGTTCAGAGCTTCAGGAAGTGCGCCAACAGACTGTTAATCTTGAGGCCGAAAGGTACCAGCACTCCCTTCGCTTAGGCTGCTTGGAGCAACTAGTGCAGCGAATCGCCCGTGCTTTCCGCTTTGAGTGACCTGCTTCATTCTGCCTCCGGCTCCATGCCCCCTGCATCTTCTGAAGGTGGGGTTTCTGAGGCAGGTGACAGTCGCCGGAGGGATGCCGCCATGGCCTTTGGGTCGTACGAGGCACATTTGGCGTCTTGCATGCGCAAGTTCAATAAGACTGGGTTTGTCCGATCCTGGGATTTTAAACTTAAGCCTTCTGCCAATTTGTTTGCCGGTATGGCACGTGCCAGCGGGCCCATGCCGCCTGTCATGTCTGTGCCAGTGCCCAAGATGGTGTCTTCCCAGGTTACCGTTGCTTCTGTTGTCAAGCTTGCCCTGGGCAGGGTCAGGCTGCAGGATTCTTGGAGTGTGCACCTTGACAAGAAGCTGCGTGCTGCCATTCAGAAGTGGGTGTCTATCGTCCTTGAGGATCCACTCACCTTTGATGTTGGCCGCAGGTGTGCTGCCGCGTCCTGCCAGGACTTCGCAGTCTCGCAAGGTTTGCTGCACACCTTTTCGGGCAAAGCTGCGGGTACACTGCACAATCGTGCGGGGCCGTTGCTCCGTTTTGTGGCGTGGGCCAAGAAGCGGCGTCTCCAGCCGCTGCCACTGAGAGAGAAAGATGTGTATGAGTTCCTGCTTGATTTGGAGGATTCCAGCGCGCCGTCTTTCGGCAAGGCACTCATGTCCTCGTTGGCGTTTTGCAAGTTCGTTTTGGGTGCTGAGTCTTTCTCTGACTCCCTTTGCAGTGGCCGCCTTACAGGGCTTGCGCGTGCCTCTTTTCTTAAAAAGAGGAAGAGGCGACAGAAGCCGCCACTCACCGTTGCTATGGTCAAGAGATTGGAGCGCCTTGTTGTGGATGAGTCAGATAATGATGTTGACAGGCTGTGTGCAGGCTTTTTCTTACTCTGCATTTATCTTCGTGCTAGATACAGCGATGGCCAGGCTTTGATGAATCTGGTTTTGGATGAGCCGGACTCTTTCATGGGACCACTTGCAGGGTACTTCCAAGGTGAGACTTCAAGGACGAAGACCAGTTTCTCCTTGGAGAGGAAAACAGCATTGCTTCCTATGGTGGGGCCATTGTGCGGGGTGGCGTCCGTGCCTTGGTTCAGGACGTGGATGAGCCTTCGTGAGGACCTCGCCATTCCCGAAGGGGAAGATTTTCCTCTCCTGCCCAGCCGTGGTCAGGAGGGCGGATGGTCAGGTGTTCCGCCCACGGCCACTGTAGCAGCTGGTTGGTTGCGCGGGATTTTGTCTGCCAGAGGTTTCCCTGAAGCCTCAAAGCTTGGTACTCACAGCTGTAAGGCTACGACTTTGTCTTGGATGTCAAAGTATGGTGTTGACGCGCTGCACCGGAGGATTTTGGGATATCACAAGGCTCCGCAGGATGAGATGATGCACATCTATGGGCGTGACAATGTTGCGCCTGCTCTGAGGTCTCTTGAGTACGTGCTCGCCGATATAAGGATCGGCAAGTTCCTCCCGGACACCACGCGTTCGGGCTATTTCCCAACTGATCCTGAGCGCGAACCAGGTCCGGAGTTCAATGATGAACCGTCGGCCTCGGAGGCGTCATTGGACGAAGAGGACAACGTTCAGGACCTTCGTGCTGAAGAGGCTGCTGCTGATGAGATCATACCGCCTTGGGCCGAGTTAGCTGTGGGAGACCCTGATGCCCATGTGTACATCAGGCACATTACTTCCCGCAAGCTTCACCGTCTCGCTGATGAGGGCGGGAATCGGCTTCGCTGTGGGAAGAGGTGCTCAAAGAAGTTCGAGCGTCTTGCTGAGAGGCCTAGGTTTATGGCAGACATGTGCCAAAACTGTTTCAAGTGATGTGCGCACTTGTGGAAGCCGGTACACGCGGTGCTCACCGGACTCACTCGGTGATGGTTTGATGTGCTTGCGCACTTGTGGTTTGCCGGACTTCGCGGCTTGGATTTGGATGAGCTGGACCCACTCGGCTCAATTGTCTGACCCTTGCGGGTACGATGTGCGTGAGTGCGTGATGCCACCGGTCCACGCGGTGGCACATGTACGAATTTCGGGCACTGGCCTGGTTTTGATGTGGCACCGACTTACTTGTCCGGTGTCATGCGAGTTTTTAGAACATGCTGAACACGAGTGTCGTGTGAAATACTTGCCGGGCGCCGTCAAGTATGTGAGTTCGTGCTGAACTTGTGTCCGACAGTCAGCGGTTTGCAAGTGCAATTGACGTTTGCGGTGAGTGTGCACTTTGGCTGGAGACCCATAGTGCCTTGACAGGTTTTTGTGCCATGGCCGTCACAGAGAGCAAGGCGAACTTCTCTTCGAGGGCGAAGGCTCTTGGTTTGGAGGATCCAGTGCTGGTGAAGTTCGTTGACGCTGGCATTGATTGCATGAGCAAGTATGCTTTCTTGAGCTCATACGTGCCCGGGAGCACGGATGAGAGCCCATTCACTGCTGCCATCGTCAAAGTGCTTGGGCGTGACCCTTCGATTGCGGAGCTCAGTGTGCTTCGCCGCTTGCTGCATGAGAGCTACAACCTAACTGTGTCTGAATTGCAATCACAGGTTGAAAGGACTGATGACTCTGCTCCGAGAAAGCTCGCAGCGCCCGACCGGGCCGACCGGTTGCAGCGACAGCAGGTTCGGCTGAGTGGTTTGACGATCCACGGCCCGACTCTTCCGGGTCATGCCGTGATCGATAAGTGCGTTCAGATGTATGAGGATAACGTGCTTCATTACTTACCGCCTCAGTCGTGCCCTTGCCCTGATGATGAGGTCAAGTTCAAGAAGGATCGCGATGATAAGATGTTGTCCGTTGATGGTGCCGGCCATGTGTCTCTACGCACCCAGGTTGCAAAGGTTGATGCTGATGTGTCCTCAGACCTTCTCCTCAAGCTGGCATTGACCCGTCGAGGTTTGGCCCTAGACCAGGCAGGGATTGTCACCTTTTCGGAGCACGAGCGGTGGGTGGAAGCACTCTTTACCGCGCGTTTCAGGGATCCACCTGATAACTATGCACGTGTGATGCTGCAGCAGCTTATGCAGGCTGATCGGCAGCTGTTTGTGGAAGCAGCTGATCGCACTCGGCATGGAATCCAACTTGTTTCTGACGGCAAGCCTGTTGATAAGATTTGGAACGAGGCAATGAATTGTAATAATGTAACACACCTTTTGCAGCCTTTGGTCGCAGCCCCTCCGGCTCCTTTCAGGCCTGGCCCGTACGATGACCGCAGGCCCTGGAAAGGCAAGGGGAAAGGCAAGGGTAAAGGAAAGAGCAAGAACAATGTCCGTATGCCCGCTGAGCTTGCAGACGGGGTTCCATCCACGACTCGCGGATTGCCAATCTGTTTCGACTTTAACTTAGGCCGTTGCCAGAGAGCTGTATCCAATGGGAAGTGCGAGCGAGGACTCCATGTCTGCTGCATCAAAGGATGTTTCAAGAGAGATCATGGATACACGGCGTGTCCCAAACGCAAGAAGGAGTGACTAGGTGTGCAATCCATGGACCAAACGACTGACGAGAAAGATGCTGCGCCGAGCGGTGAGCCACTCGTGCGCTCTTCTTCTGAATGCAGTGTCCCTGAAGGGGAAGTTTTGCATGCAGGTCCAAATGGGTTGCCTTCCGCTGAAGAATTCGCTTCAAGTCTGATTGGGAAGTGGATTGAACAGGCTGATGTTTTGAAGCTTTTCGATTGCCTCCCGAAGGCTGCGCCGCAACGCGGCTCCGGTGGCGGCATTTCATTTACCACTGGGGCCTTTGCCAAGGTCAAGGTGGGACTCAGGAGCAATGTTGCTGTTTTTCCAAAGTCCACGCAGGTGCTGGCTGCTTTTGTAAGGCAGTCTGCTCCTGCCCACAAGTTCACAACCGTCGTGCTTTTTGATGGTGTTCGCACGGCCCCGCATCGCGATCAGCAGAATTCCTTCTTGCCTAATTTGGCCATTCCCTTGTCCAGTTTTACTAAAGGTTCAATTTGGGTGCAATCCAGCAAGGGTCCCCACACTCGGACTGTTGATGGTGCAACCCTTCAAGGGGTGGCATTGCCTGTGTCAGATGGCCCTGTCCTGTTTGATGCACGCAGGCAAATGCACCTCACTGATTCGTGGCAGGGCAGGAGGGTCATTTTGGTTGCTTTCTCTATTTCGGCCTTTGATAAGTTGTCTCTCGAGGCTTCGCAACGCTTGATTTCACTTGATTTTGCCTTGCCAACTGAGCCAGAGGTCGAGCACTTCCGTGAGAACCCACAGCTGCCTGCTCGCCTGCCGTGGCCGCCGCGTTTCCCTCTGCTGTCGAGTGCTTCAGCAACCAAGGCTGTTACCGCGGCGTTGGTTCCCAAAGAACCACTTTTTCTTGAGCTATGTGCCGGCAGCGCCATGCTTTCTCGCTGCTTTCGTGAAGCGGGTGTGCCTGTCATGCCCATTGATCACCAGCACAACCGCCATCATCCGTTGGCGCAGGTCTGCAATCTCAGCTTGACCGAGGAGTCCACTTGGGTCTTCTTGCGCAATTTGGTGCGTGATCATCCTATACTCTTCGTGCACGCTGCCCCGCCTTGTGGCACGTGCTCCCCAGCGCGTAACATAAAGCGAAAAGGGGTGTCCGTGGCCCCGCTTCGCTCTCCTGAGCATCCCATGGGTTTGCCTTCGCTGACTGGTGTCAATCTTGACAAGGTCAAGGCTGCAAACAAAATTTACGTCGGCCTTGCCCAGTTTCTTGATTTGCTTTGCAGGTCCAACATCCCATGGACAGTTGAGAATCCTGAGTCAAGCATGCTTTGGCAGCTGCCCTGTTTTGCTCATTTGGTAAAGAATTTTCCGAGGGTCAATTTCGACATGTGTTGCTATGGTGGTGCACGATTGACTCACCGTACGCTGCTTACTTCTTGTGATGCCATCGAACATTTTCGCCAGCGCTGTCCGGGTGGGCACGACCACCTTCCGTGGAAGCCACAGCGCCGCGCTGATGGCACGATGTCTTTTCCTACTGCGCAGGAGGCAGCCTACCCCAGGCCCTTTTGCCAACAGTTCGTGGCGCTGGTCTTTAGGCACTTGGGTCGTCCCTTGCCTGTGCATCCTACTGCGGCCACGCCTGCCGCTGCTGCCACTTCTTCTGCTCGGCAACCTCGCGGGCGTAAACTGCCTCCTGTTATGCCTGAGTTCAAGCGTGTGCTTGTCTACCAAGTTCATGCTCTGCCGCCTGTTGATTCCAAGCGGTGCATTTTGCAGCCCCTCCGCGATGCTCCTTCTGGGTCCAAACTTCTCTCTTCGACCTCTTTACTGCTAAGCGGGGGTGGTTCTGGGTCTTCGTTGAAGTTTTCCCGGGATGAGGTTGTGCACTCGGATAGTTCTAGCAGTGATGCCAGCAGTTGCGAATCCGTGCACGGTTCTGACAGTGATGCCTCCTGTGCGCGGACCTTGGAGCCTACTTGCGATGCGAGAGCTTTTGAGGTTCGCCTTGGTGTGTACGCCTCTCCCGATGAATTTCTTGATGGGTGCAGAAGGGTTACTCATCCTTTCGATCACCTGCATGCCGCTCCTGATCGTCTCAAACAATGCATTTTTGACATGTTGGTCAATGGCCCGACCTGGGTTGTGCAACGGAGGGCGGCCCTACTCAGGAAGTGGACGTCCTGGGCCTCCGACCTCGAAGGCGAGGAACGTGCTTTGAAGGAGGCGCTTGATCCTCAGGTCGCCAAGGTTTTGCAAGGAAAAAGGCTAAAGCTTCTGGAGCGTATTGCCGGCTCCCTTGGTTGGGTTGACATGAAGGTTTTCGATGAACTGCGCAATGGTTTTGACTTGGTGGGCCATCATGAACACACTGGAGTTTTCGCTCACGAGCCCAGGCCACCTAAGTTGGCTGAAAGTGATTTCATTAGTGCCGCACAGTTTCTGCAGCCCGCTTTACTTGGAAAGATTCGTGCTTCTGCATCCGATGCGAATGCTCGCGAGCTGTGGGACAAGACTCTTGATGAGGTGGCTGATGGCATTCTTGAGGGACCGCTTTCTGCTGAGGAGTTGTTGTCTCGACACGGGCCGTGCTGGCTCCCTACTCGCCGGTTCGGCGTTGAACAGACTTCCTCTGCCGGCCGTAAACTTAGACCTGTTGATGATTTCACTGAGAACAAGGTCAATTTGGCTTTCGGCTCGATGGATAAGCTTGATCTTAACGTGCTTGACGAGTTGATTGGGATCAGCAGGTTGTGGATTCGGGTTCTGAACGGGCCGCCCGATTTCACAATCCCTCTCTCAACTGGTGAATCCTTGAGTGGTCGTCGGCATGACGGCTGGAAGAAGGTGGGGTGCGAGCCTCTCCTCACTACCTTGGACCTCCGAGCGGCTTATAAGCAATTTGCGGTTTCTGCGAAGTCGCGGGCCCTGGCAATAATCGCATTGCTTGACCCTTCGACTGCTGAGCCTGGATTCTTTGAGTCGAAGGCCCTACCTTTCGGGAGTTCCGCTTCGGTGCTTCACTTCAATCGCCTTGCGCGCCTATTCTGGCGCATCGGCGTGGAGCTGTGTGTGCCTTGGTGCAACTTTTACGATGACTTCCCTGTCATGTCTCCGAGTGGCATTGCTGACAACACCATGGAGACCATGATTGCCCTGTGTAACCTGTTGGGGTTTAGGTTCGCCTCTGATAAACTTTCCCCCTTTAAGGCCCAAGCCACGATGCTTGGAGTGGAGGTTGATTGCTCTCGCTTTTCCGAAGGCCTGGTCCTAGTCCGGAACAAGCCTGGCCGGGCCGAAGAGCTCATTGCCTCTCTTGACGAAGTCCTTGAGGAAGGTTTGATTTCTCGGAAGCGGTATCTTAGCTTAATGGGTCGCTTGCATTACACCGACTCGTACATCCTTGGCAAGGCTGGACGGCTCTTCATGGCCGAGGTCAGGTCGTGGGCAAAGTCGCATTCTGGACCTGAGTTGAAGCTTGATGAGTTTGTTCGGATCTCTTGAGCGGTTGCTGAAACGACTTCGTTGTGGCACGCCTCGCCATGTCCCTTGCTCTGTCGCCGATCATGTTGTGCACATTTACACTGATGGAGCGAGCGAAGGTAGCTCTCACACCGTTGGCGGGGTGTTGATGATTCAGAATCAGGTTCACGCTTACTTTGGTTGCTCTGTCCCTGATGTCCTAGTCTCGCGTTGGGCTGAATCCATGTGTCACTTCATCGGGCCCATTGAGGCCTATGCTGTTGCCGTCGCGAGGAAGGCTTGGCACCAATTCATCGCGGGACACAGATGTATCTTCTACATAGACAATGTGCCAGCGCAAGACGCCTTTATCAAGGGCACCTCTGTAAATCATCATGTCAGGGACATCTTGTTGTCTTTCGAGGCGGCCGAAGAGCTCAGTGCTTCTTGGTCTTGGTTCGCCCGTGTAGCCAGCCAGAGCAATGTGGCGGATGCTCCGTCGCGTGGCGACTTCGCTGATCTGCTTAATTCTGGGTGTCGTAGGGTTAGTCCCTCGTGCCCCTTGTCGGGTTGTGACCTTAAGGCCCTCCTGGCTCCCGCAGGGATTACTAAGAAGGGGTGAAGGGGGCGGTCGCCAGACCGTGTTTCGCCCCGTGCAAAATGAAGGACAGTGCGATGCATCTTATGCCGGATTACTTGGAATCTTATGTTACTTGTGATTGGATTCATTTGCAAATAGACTTTGAGTCCTTTTTCCCTTTGCATATGTTTGAAAATCCGATTATGAAAAGGATCTCAGCAGACAAGCCTGCGCCATCTGCGATCCCTTTTTCATAAAAGGACCGCGAGCTTGAAGCGAGCATTTTCAAACTTGGTTTCAAAAACTTGGCATGGCTTGTTTTTGCACGTGACAATTTTTGCATTGACTTCAGCGCATCGCCTCTTTTGGTCTTGATGACACAACCTTGGCATGCGGCAGCTCAGTGCTCGAGCTGAGTTGTGAAAGAATTTTCTGCCCGCCCTCCACTCCCTATGTGCTGCTCTGGCTCTCCGTGCCATTGAGCTTGCAACTTCTCATGTTGCCTACTTGAAGCGTCGAGCTCTCCTCTGAGCTCCACTTCCATTGCATTGCGCTAACAAACTTGTGTTCCGCCGCACTCGCTTTGCGTGCTGCCGGTGTTGAGCTCTCTTGTGAGTTCCACCTGTGCCTGCCGTAGGTGTAGCTGCGTAGTTGTTGCCGTAGGCTGTGCCCAGTACGCTGTGCTCAGCTGCTTGCGCTTTGATGCGATCCGCATCTGTCTACTCTTGCAGTCCGTTTCACTTGTGGTAGTCCGTAGCTGGCGTACGTGCTACTGCACTGGTCCCACCCTCCTCACCCACGCCCCCGAAGGGGGCGGTCGCCAGACCGTGTTTCGCCCCGTGCAAAATGAAGGACAGTGCGATGCATCTTATGCCGGATTACTTGGAATCTTATGTTACTTGTGATTGGATTCATTTGCAAATAGACTTTGAGTCCTTTTTCCCTTTGCATATGTTTGAAAATCCGATTATGAAAAAAATCCTGATAGCTCCCACCTTTGGAACCTGCCTTCCTTTGCCGAGTTCGGGCCCGATTCCCTCTGCGTGTTTCGTGCCGACAGCTGTCGGTACGGGACCTCATGGCGCAAACGGCTGCGCATTGCTACCAGCACCAGCCTTGGCGGAGCGAGAGAGTTCTGCCAGTGCCGGAAAGGACACCAGCGACTGCGTGGCCGCTTTGGGCCAAACGGGGCCTCCTGGACAGAGGTTGCGGGGACCTGCCCTGGGCTCCTCGCGTGGGAGCTTGCCGTAAGCGCGGCCGGAGCTTATAGACTTGCCGGGCTCCCCTTGTGCGCTAGCTTGGCCAGGCAAACTGCCGCCCGCGTTGGCGAGGCTCAGCACCCTGGACCGCGACGACCCGGACCAAGGAAGCTTCGCGAAGGCCCCGATCTCGAAGCACAGCCGCTCCTTTCAGGGATCTCCAGGGCTTTAGGGGAAAGAGCTTGGTCGTCGTTTCTCGTCTGGCTCTCTTCCTCCGTCTCCTTTGTCCCGGTCGAGGTCTTCAGCCGCGCCCCCGCCCTCTTAGCCATGGCTCTGCGAGCTTACGGGAACTGGCTCTACAAGACTGGCGGGACACTGCACGAACTGCGGCACACAATACTTGCTGCGCAGAGGCGGTTCATGAACCTGAAGCCCTTGAGCGGGGTGGCCTGGGAGATTGTGAGCAGGTGGGAGTACTTGGAGCCGCCGGCCCACCGCGTTCCTATCCCGGAACCAGTGCTAAAGGCTCTGGTCGCTTTGGCATGGATGACTGGATACTTCGATTTTGCCGGGGTTACGTTACTTTCGTTTTACGGCCTGGGTAGGATCGGTGAGGTCTTGAACTCGGACCGCGCCGACCTCCTCTTACCTGAAGAGGACCTCTGGGATCAAGGCGAGGACGTATACCTGCGGCTGCGCTCTTCCAAAACGGCCACGAGAGGACGCAGCCGAGTGCAACATTTGAAGATTTCAGACAGGCATGCTGTCGACCTTATTTCGAAGGCTTTTCGAGGAACCGACCACGGTGCCCGACTTTTCGCCAAGACCCCGTCTGCCTACAGGTACCGCTGGAATAAGTTTTTGCAGCTGCTCTCTATCGACAGCGAACTGCGACTGACTCCGGGCGGACTACGTGGAGGCGGGGCAGTGCACTGCTACCGTTTGGGCTTGAGCGTGGCCGACATCCAGTGGCGGATGCGGTTGAAGCACCAGGCCACTCTCGAGTTCTACCTGCAGGAAGTCGGGGCCCTGTCGGCCTTGAACCACCTCGGCGACACGTCGTCGAGAAAGATCCGTGCCGTGGCTGCGACGTACCCTTTCGTCTCGGCGGTTGCGGCTAACCAATGATAGCCCCTCTCCTCGGCATGCCGGGCTTGCGGCCGCCTGTGAGCTCTTGCTCTCAGGCGCTTTTTGGTGGTGCTCGCCGCCCTGAACGGCCGGCTGGCCCTGAAGCAATGGGCGGATGCTGCTACAGTGGGACTTCGCTTTGTTTTGCGAGCTCGCTGCCTACGACCTGGTTTGGCTACTTGCTTTCGGCCCGCCTCGGCGGCCGCTTTCTGCTACAGCCTTTCGGCACCAGTGCGGCGAGCTCTCTCTTACGAAGTTTCGATGCAGTGGCAAACCTGTGTACGCTTCGCGAGGCATGCTTGAAAAAGTGTGGAGAGCGTGTGACTTTGAGGGAGGAGCAGGGAACATAACATGTCTCCCCATGTTCTGTGGTTGCGACGAAGCTTTGATGGCCCGCCCACCCTCCCGGAGATGCTGCTACAGTGGGACTTCGCTTTGTTTTGCGAGCTCGCTGCCTACGACCTGGTTTGGCTACTTGCTTTCGGCCCGCCTCGGCGGCCGCTTTCTGCTACAGCCTTTCGGCACCAGTGCGGCGAGCTCTCTCTCTTACGAAGTTTCGATGCAGTGGCAAACCTGTGTACGCTTCGCGAGGCATGCTTGAAAAAGTGTGGAGAGCGTGTGACTTTGAGGGAGGAGCAGGGAACATAACATGTTAAACTGTTTTTAACCGATTGTTTTGGTTTCACTAAGACTCATACTCCTATACATTTTGTCAGAACGAAGCACATGCATTATTGTTTAGCTTCCGAGGACCCAATGCTCCCTGTTTCAGAGCCAACACGAATTCTTTTCTGCAGCTGCATGGATCAGAAGTTCATCGTGCTGCAGGGGACTCCAGGTCGCCAAAAACAACGCATGCTGGCAATCTTGAATTTGTTTGGTTTGGTTTTATGAGTGTGTTTGAGATGTTGGGAACATAGCTTTCCTGTTAAACATTCTGCCAGGAACAGTAACACAGCTAGTGCAGTACAGTTAATGTACAGGAACAGCCGTCACGCACACGCGACGTGCAGGCTCGAGACCCCAGGACACACCGTGCCCAGGAACAAAAGTGTCCGACAGTCTTTGTGGGTAGGAACCCTTAGTGAAGCCCGTTCTTTAACATGGTAGCGGAGCTGCCTCCAGGAACCTCCTTGGCAGCGATGATGCTACTCGTAGCCATAGGAACCATGATGCTCGGCGCCATGGCAGTTTGCCTCGTTGCCGGATGGAAGCAGATGCGCGCAAATGAGCAGATCACCAAGAAGACGGAGACAGTGCTCAACATGCCCACGCTCAGGATCGCAGTCCGTTCAGGAACAAAGTACCACCGCAGAGGTTGTGGACACCTTCGCAACCACAACGTGACAGCAGGAAACGCGCGAGACTTTGACGCTTGCAGCGATTGCTACCCCGACCGAGTGTTGGTGGAAGAGAGAGAGAAAAGGAACATGAAGTGCTACGGTTTGGCAGCATGTATGGTGCTGCTGGTTGGTTTCGCACTGGGAAGCCTCGCAACTTTGTGCGGGATGATCTTGGTCCCAGGAGCAAGAAGTATGGCGGTGAGACCGTGGCAGGCCCTTGGCAACAACGTGGAGACCAAGGAAGAACTTGCCCTTGGAGACGCCTTACCCTCCAAGGATGCGAGCCGTGGGAGAAAGGAACTCACTTACGTAGAGAGTGACGAGAGCGAGCTCATGGCAGTGTGGTCGAGCAGAAGGAAGCCCAATACGCACCGGAACCGCTACAGGAACTACGACGTGTACGGCGAGTACTACCAGCAAGGCTACAACGAGTGCAGCGTGAACCCCGACGGCACCAACGTGAACACGATCAGGAACACAACGCGTACACGATTAAGGACTATGTGGAGATAGGAAAAGTCATGGTACCGTACGCTTTGTTGTGCATGAACCAAGTGATGAACGAGCTCTACAGCGTCGTTAGCGTGACCGGCGAGTACTACACGGAAGAGAACAGGAACGGCAACCAGAACACCGAGAACCAGGAGAGTGAGAGCCTTGAGTCAGGCTACGCCCCTAGGTACCTAGTAAAACAACAGCGAGAAGTACTGAGGAAATTTGTACAGGAACATGTTCACAGTTTCGTAGAAAAGCTAGCAACTGTAGGAAAGAAGTTTCACGACGTCGTGCATGTGATAGTTCAGGAAGTCATTTCCAACAGAGTTGTATTTCAAGGAATTCGCATAGCAGTGTTCTTAGGAACCCCAATGGGACTGATTACTTGGATCACCCTGTCGTACTATTCTAGTGTGTTTTTCGCAAGAGCAAGCAACCGCTCAAAGCACCAAAGGAAGACAAGAGGAGAAAGGAGAGCACAAGCAGTGTGCAGGAAACAGTGCAAGTCGCTACTTTTAGCAGCACTAGTGTACAGCAACCTTGAAACAGCAAAAGGAATGGAGGATGCATTGAAGGCACTTGCCGAGATCAATGCACAGACCTTACAAGGAATACAAACACTAGCAGAGGAGATCAGGAACTCAGCAGCTTCAGGAAGTCAAAGAGAAGCAGGACTTACACAAGCATTCCAGGAAACCCTGACAGCAGTTCAGGAACAGCAGAAGACAGCGCAAACAGCGTTGGCAGACGCCCACACGAATGCAGCAACGACACTTGAGGAGATAGGAGCATCTCTGGAGAAAGCAGTAAAGGAACAAAGAAAGCCTGGAGAAGTGGAGTTGCACAAGCTGATTAAAAGCCCCGAAGCATTTTCCCCAGGAACATGGCAAGAAGAGAAGAGTGGATGGACAGAGTTCAGGAACAGGATGCGGATCTGGCTTGGAGCAGTGGATTCCAACATGGTGAAGATCATGGACATCGCAGAAAGGAACTTAAAAGATGATAAGCAAGTGAAGATGGCTGAGATGTCTGCAGAAGCAAAGGAAACAAGCAGACGCCTGTACAGTGTTCTTTGTTCATACACTAAAGGAAGGCCGTACCGAGTTGTAAAGCATGTAGCTGAGGAGAACGGTATGGAAGCTTACCGTATGCTACTCAAGGAATATCAACCAACGAATCGTGCGAGATCGTTGGAGTTGTTTCACAACATTCTCAACTACAAATTCGCTCACAACAAAGGAATTGCTGAGAATATCCTCGAATATGAGGAACACATCGAGAAGTACGAGAAGGCTACTGGAGAAAAGGTACAGGAGAATTTGAAAGTATCTACTCTTATCCAAGGTATGAAACCTGACGTGAAAAGGCACTTGTTGCTCAACATGGATGAGAAGACACAGTACAATACTCTTCGTCAGTACCTTGTGAACTATGAGTCAACCGAGCGTTGGACTAACTCTTTAGCAGCCCAGCAAGGAACACCTCACCGAACCACAACAGACTTGATCGACAAAGGTGATGACCATGGTGGTCTTGCAGCAATGGATATCAACCAAGCATGGTACAAAGGAAAGAAAGGCTATGGCAAAGGTTATGTTCACCATAAAGGCAAAGGTAAAGGAAAAGGCAAGAAAGGTGGAAAGGACTTTGGAAAAGGTTACGGCTTTGACAGCAAAGGCAAAGGTAAAGGTAAAGGTTTCGGAGGTTTTGGCAAAGGCAGAGGTCGAGGCAACTGGAAAGGCCGAGGTAGAGGTTTCAGAGGTTACAAAGGAAAAGGCAAAGGTCGAGGAAGAGGTTTCTTCAGACACAAAGGAAAAGGTAAAGGCAAAGCCCAAGCAGCTACAGGAGTGTGTCACTACTGTCATAAGTATGGACATTTCGAAGCACAGTGCAGACAGAAGATGCGTGACATGGGTTACCAGGCCAGGAACGTTGACCTTGAAAACCAGAGCGAGCAAGCGAGCACTACAGGTACTTCTACTCAGGCCCCTTCGTCAGCCAACAAGACCTCAACAAGCCAAGCAAGCCAAGGAACCCAAAGACCAGTGATTAGGATGGTCTCCATGTACCACATGGGAGACGAGCCCACAAGCTTTCCGGAGGAATTCGCGCTGAGTGAGAACTCTGAAGAGATAGAGATTGAGTACTTCGGAAGAGTTTTGCGGGTTGTTGGTGAAGAAGTTCAGGAAGAGAGGAGTGAGACAGAAGAGTTTTGGATTGGTGATGAAGATGATGAGTTTCAGGACTGTGATGAGGTGAGTGATGATGCATGGTTGCAATGGCATCTAGCAGGAACTCCGATAGGAACTCAGGATCGTGGATACTACTTTGAGTGTCCCAATGGATGTCATGAAACACCGTGGCACCCAAACATGCAGGAATGTGAGAACGGATGTCACCATCCTCCTAGAAGGAACAGAGTAGAGAGAACAGCACCCTCAAGGACCATCACCAGGTTTGCGCGTGCAGCAAGGAACGCGAGAAGTCGAGAAATCGAGGTTGTGCTGGATTCAGGAGCCGACATTTCGTTGGCACCGATGTGGATGAAGAAGTATGGAAGAAAGGCACCCAACACTACCAAGGTAGTTTTGCGAGATGCACAAGGATCTCGGATCAAGGTTTCAGACCAAAGGATCATTGAGGTTGAGTTTCGGGATGTTCAAGGAAACATTGTGAAGGTTGAAGAAGTGTTCTTGATTTCATCGGTTGTGCACCCTCTTTTGGCAGTAGGTAAACTGTTGAAGAAAGGCTGGGAGTTCAGAGATGGAACAGCAACAGGCACTTTCCTAACAGAAGGAACAACCAAGATCGCAGTGAACTACAACAACAACTCACTTACAACAAAAGCCTTTGTGAGAGCAGTCAACTGGGAAGCAGAAGCAAAACCTATCCCTATGTACTTGTGCGAGAACTTGAAGGAACTCATTGAAGAACAGCGTGTTGGTTGGACCAACTGGCGAGACCCTTACCAAGTCCACTTCAGCCTAGGAACCTCAGAACACGTTGATACTTACTTGATGTTTCCACCAGGAAAGTTCGCATATCGAGCAGTGCTTATTGAGGATGATGATCAGTGGTATTTGTTGCATCACAGCATCATGTTTGAGGAACTTGAGGAACCGTTTGGAACAATCTTCGATGGCAGTAAGGAGTACCGCACGC